ATGTACATTAGTTTTACTATTTTTAACACAATTTATCAAGCTCATAATAAAAAAAACTATAAAAATGTAATTTCATTAGATTCATATCATGAATGATATAATGAATTAATCGGTTGCATACGAAATAAAATAAGTGATTAATTTACCTTAGTGGCACCCCAACCAGTCACGTTCACCAAACTTCCAGGCGCAAGTTCCATAGTTGCCAATTTTATAGGAGCCGCTGTACTACCGAGCTTAAACTCACCAGCAATCTAAATAGAAAATTTAAAAAATTCAATTCATTCCTCAGTCTTCTTTAAATATCAATTTATTCTATGTGAATATTATTCTAATGAAAATATTCTTCTATTTAAATAATGATGACACTATAATACCAATAAGTCGAAGAAGGTTTGATCAGCACTATTATATATTTGATTGCTATGAGAATAAAAGTAGTTTCACGCACCTCGAGAAGGGCGACGTCATAATCGACAGTTCTCGAATTATAGTTGGGGTGTCGAATAATGTTCTTTATGGTGTAAGCGTTACCCAAATTGTTGTTACTATTACCGGACCGCAGCGTGTACCGACTAGGAGCCGATCTGTAATTAATGAAACATGAAAATGCGAGCGATTCCAAGAATTCCTTTTGTAACACAGCTGTGGTGTTTTGCTTTGGTGGAACTCAATCTCTGTGGTTGTTTCCCAAAATGTCAGAAAAGAGTCAAAAAATATATAATGAACTTCTTTCATACGGGGTGTAATTTATGAGAAAACTGAGTTTGGTAACTTGTTAAGTACGCGTGTACTTCGAATTATCATTCAGGCATTCGATCGTTCAAAAGATTAAACACACTGCCTTTAGTTCTTGCTGCATTAATTGGACGAGCAAGAATTTGCTTACCATATTATACTATACGATTTTTTCCACATGTGTGATTTACTAAAATAAATTCGTCGTGAGACATTAATTTAAACGAACCTACTATTCATTAAAATATCGTAACTGGAATCGTTTAAATTGACATCGCCAGAAGTAATTTGTAAATAAGTTTAAAGATCAACGCGCGCATGTATTATTACCCGACACAGTGTCCCGCGGTGATGGCCCATTTACTGCTAATGATCGAGGCACCGCAAATATGGCTGGTAGTTTGAAAACTCAATTGATACGGATGCTCACTGATGTCCGCTTGAGTTCCTCCGACGATCTGGGGATCCGGAAATGGCGGGTAAATTTTCAGCACGGAGCCTGCAATGATAATTTTTAAATTCCAAATGCACATTTCTATTTCATCATTTCATTCTCTCTTCTCATTATTTTATTGTTGTACATAAAAATACAGTGCATAACGTTGTCTATAACGTACGCATTGAAGTAATGATTCTCGACCCGTTTTTTGTTGTATTACTTTTCCCTACGGGGACAAGATTCGAAAGCAGTTACAAATCTATGCTTTATTTTTTCAATCCTGCGGAATTTATACATTTGTAGGAAAATTAGGTATGTAAAAAACGCAAAAAATACATGTCGTGGACAGAAGTGCATGAAGTACTAATAGCAAAATGCATGTCATGATGTTCAAAAAATTAAAGGACATTGTTATTAAATATAGACTTAGATTGATACCAGATTTTATTTTGTATAAATTCCACAGCCTACTGATGTGACATGAGCCTACATGATTTTTGTATTTCAAAATCAGAACAATTTTATTGTAGGTATTAAGAAATGATTACTGATGTAATTTTATTGTGCAGTTGAATGTAAATAAAGGTTGAAAATGTAAACATTATATAAGTAAGAATTTACGTGTTTTATTACTTTTTTATTTCTTTATTCAGTTTTTTACCTATATATAAAAGCATTGGAAGAAGCCGATTTTCATTTATTTCTTAATTTGAAAATGTGTATGTCTGTGCATACGTTTCGTTCCAAAAATATAATTAAAATATAAAAAAATATTAATGTAAAAAGAGTTCTTCAACTGATTTTTGGGCAGTTATAAAAAATCTAGTATTTAATCGAACTTGCTAACCGAGCATTAAAAAAATGAGATTACTTTAAATAGAACAGATTTATTAATATTTTCGGGCCTTGTCCTTTTAAGGGAAATTAACAGAATCAAAACCATAAAAATCATTGTCTCAAGCTATACATAAGAATATGTAGTACATGTCGATGTAATTATACTTTATCATCACGGTATTCAAGCACGGTATTTGAGCACTAATACTTTTTTAGAGTAAAAAATTTATTCAAATATCACCCATTTATAAAGATATAAAAAATTTCTAGATACTAAATTTAATACTAAATGGATATTTATAACTGAAGAAAGAAAAATGGACTGTACAAAACTCAATTAAAAGTCGTCTGATTAAAAAATATTTCTTGGATGTATGTATAAGTAACTTGGGGTCCAGATATGAGAACGAGGAATTCCTTTTGCTTATACTCACTGAGACACAGGCCAACGAGACCACAGAGAAGTAGAGCTCTTCGCAACATCTTGGGCAATATCGAAATCTTGGTTTGAGTACAGCTTTTATAACTGGGAAACTGCTTCAGTGAAAAATCCTTATCTGGCGGTGATACACCGCGTGTTGCAAACGCTAAATAGGCATTCGTTGTGTCTAAAGGGGAAGTGGGGAAAGGGGTTAGAACAGAAGAATAGGTTCCGCGGTTTTTGCAGATTGCGGTAATAAAAAATTCAGACGAAGTGTGGAAATGATTAAATTGTGAATGAGCTTGATAAGGGATTTTCATCAACCTCGCTTTTTTCACGCTGGATTTATCGTTTTTAAGAACTATTCCATGCTTTCTTTGTCTTGGAAATTATTTTCTCTATACTATACCCTGCTAGTGACTATTAGATAAAAGTCACAACTATAAAAACTTTCAGTACTAAACATCAAGCGATCGAGTTTTAGATTTTTTATTAACGTTTCCTTTTCTTGGGTATACCATCGTGACAAAGGAAACGGTAAGTTATTACCGTGGACTTAGGATACGTATCAAGATGTACAACATATGTATATTAAATGATACCAGTGCTCTTAATTGACAATGTACAATAGCAAAAGTTTCACATATAGGAAATACAGAACATAAAATTTTATGATGCGAAAGGATAAAATTCATCTTGAGCTGTGTGAAGATTCCAGATATGGTACAGTTGTTGTTAACATCCGTACACTGTGCTGCTATCAGTTTGCAAGGGAGATGAGTTAGGACTTATTACTTCACGTTTATTTTTATCGTATTAACATTTGTAATTCAAGAAACCATTGCAAATGAGAAATTGGCCGAAGAGTGAATCACCCCATTATGTAATTATTTTACGACTTTATTACAATACGTAGTGAAATTTTACACTCAATCGGTTAGATTTTTATAAACAATTTATATAAATACGTAATGTATGATTCACAGGAGCTTGTACCTATTTAGCGATCAGAATTTTAACAAATTACGCATGTTGATTTACCGATTCTGTTTCGATATTTTAGCTAATCGACTTGTTCGAGCTACTCGTATTTCTTTTAAGTGCACTCGATTCACGAAAGTCATTCGATTTATCTGAAATCATGGTTAAATAGAATATCGAGTCTGCTCGGTTTGAATTTCGAGCTATTCGAATATTCCAGTATGCCGGTAGCAACCTTTGAGTGTTACGACTAAGCTATTTACCTACAAAGTACATGTATATACCATATATAACGTTAGACATGCTGCAGCTCGCAACAACTCCCAAAATCAGTTGCGTATATTCGATTTTGACCACTCCCAATAAATTGTGCATCCAATCACTATTAGTCATACCACATTACAGACGGATGATAAAGTGATGTCAATGGCCATTGTTATCGACATTTTTCTAAACAGAATCAAGACTCATATTAAAATTGTCCTTCATTTTAAAAACTTGTCTTACGTTTTTATGCTGAAGTTTCTGATTCATTTGATGTACTATGATCTATGTATTTACGCCTAACTTTTTGGATTCTACAAACACATTGCTCGCTATATCCTGCTAAGAGTGATATACATTTGTCTATGTCACATATGGGCCAAAATATGAGTTAAGCGTACTGCTTGGAATAATGATTTTCGTCATTGATCCCTATAGGAATAAGACCTGAAAATAGTAATAACTCTATGCCTCATGTTTTGAATGTTCGAATTCCAATATACATATTTTTTATACTTGTCTAAATTAAGAAAGAAGTGGAAAACTTTTTCCAAAGTCTCTACGTATAGTTATTACCTTTTGTTGACTTAATAACTGGACAATAAATTATTTTTCATGTTTAGTTACTTTTTAGTATTACTTTTATAATTACTTTTTCATTATTAGAAGCCTTGGTTCATGTTTTTTAAGCGCTTTCAAGTAATCCTGATACAAATCATTCTCGAAATTCCTACTACATTAAAAAGATTCCCTCTTTCCCGCTACAATTTTCATAAAAACTCTGAAACTCTAAAAAAATCGGAATACGCGTTACCCGAGCGCTTACAAGCTATTTTGACGAGAATTATTCGATTTCCTGCAAAATTAGTCGAAATACGCGACCTCCATCAAAATTCCTCCAAACTTTTTACAAAACATAAAGAATTTCTCCTTTGCTGGCGAAATTGCGTGCAAATGACGGTGAAATATACATTTCTCAAACGTTCTCAAGTTATTTTGATAGTAATTATTCGAGTTTCTGCAAAATGTGTATGCATGTTCCCTTGCACTTCGCTTTAAAAAAGTAATTAAAATATATAACAACATTAATATAGGATTGAATCATTCAACTGATCTTTGAAATTATTATTTATGGAAAGGTTTATAGAAAATGCTTTAATCACACATATTAATTGACCATTGAAAAAATAAGGCACAGATTTATTACTATTGAATTGAATTATGATTATGGATCGAAAATGATTGTCTAAAGGTGTACGTCTGTATCTCGTTAATTTATGCTTGCGTCTTAAATATTTCGATTCTATTGTAATGGGACTATCCTCCATCGGGGTCTGCGCCTCATAATTTAATTATCATCACAACTGGTAGGAGTAAAATGCGTGGATCTTGACGTTTCTTAGAGAGGATTATACAAGGTAAATCAATAAAAAGAATTACACTAACCCTTTCGTTACGAGTGCCGGATATAGCCGGCATCCACTCGATGACTTCTGTGTACGAGCGCCGGATATAGCCGGCATCCATTCGATGACCTGTGTGTACGAGCGCCGGCTGTAGCCGGCATCCATTCGATGACCTGTGTGTACGAGCGCCGGCTGTAGCCGGCGCCAGCGTGATACCGCTCACCCAACGGCCCCGCGATACTTTTATTTCTTTCGTTCGTATGCACGTATCACATCGATAGCACTTGTCACTCTTTAGTTCGTTTTCATTTGTTTTACTCCAAAAATAAGACATGCACTGGGTTCGAAGCAATCGGGACAACAATCACGCTCCACTCTTCTTCAAACTAACAGTGTTCGCGAAGCTTCAAAGCGCGAACCAGTCCGTTGAAATAAAAGTATATTTCTGTCGTGCTAGAGATCGACTTCTCCGTAGTCGTATCCGAGACGTTTACATTACGTGATCGCGATACGGGCCTCCTTTTCGAAGAACACTCGGCGCGCATAGTTTGGGGACCAAAGTATGTATAAACGCATCGTAGCTGGCGATCGCTTTTCCGAGTGCAGTCACAGCCCAAGCATCGCATCGTACGCACGCCTAATATTATTTTTTCATAACACGAGGCCGAAAAAGACCATTTTCGGCGCCTATAAAGTGGTCCGAAAATAGAGTTTTCCCGCCCGGCGTAAGCTCGATTTTACCGCCCTAGGG